ATTCATCTGCGGGTACATTCCTTCCTCGACTCACGGGGCCTCTGTCACTTCTGCAAGAAACACTGCGGCAATGTGAACGGTGGTTGCCCGGGACCTCTAAATAGGGCCCATGTCGACATCCCAGCTAACTATCAAGCCCCCACAAAACCGGCCGACTACTCAGCCCCACGCACTTGGAGTAGCCCATCTGGCCCATCGTCCACCCCAGGAAAACCCACTCAACCTCCTGCGGGTCGACCTTCAACCCGGGCTGCAAGCGTCGCAGGCGTTACAGACGTCACACCCCTTGAGGCTCAAGTCTCGGCGCTACAATTGGAGGCAGCAATACGGGAGGACGGCCGTTGGGACACATACTTTGACGACAAAGGTTGCTATCCTAGTATGGATCTGGCCGCTGTGGCAGCACTCGAAGATCTTGACAAGCAACTCCTTGCAAACGAGATTGAGAAGGCCGAACAGGCCGACCTAGCAGATGCTATAGCGGGTCGCCCGGGACGCGCTTGACTCGGGTCTTGCCCCATATCCCCCCCTTTCTTCTCTTCCATTTTTTTTTATTTTTCTTTTCAAATTTTGGTGTTTTTTTTTTCTTTTCTCCTTTCTTCAATTTTTTATAGGAGGGGAGACTGTAAACCCCCACTCCGGCTGGGTTCACAAACCTATCACACACATGTCACTCTTCCCTTTTAGTTTTGTTCTTTCAGTTCTTCTTCCTGGCTCTGCAGAGAATTGCTCCCTTCCATCTCTCTGAGCCAGGTGAGTCCCAATTTCCTTTCTTCTTGTTTTCTTTCCTTCCTCTCTCTTTCTAGATTGTACTGAGAGAATTGCTCCCTTCCATCTCTCTGAGCCAGTAATAAAAGCTCTCGTGTTTGGTCTTAGAAAACTCTAGGCTCATTTGCCCGTCCCTTGCGCCATTCCTCGACTGATCTAGTGAAGGACATTCTCAGTCCTTACAAGCTCTTCTTCTTGCCCTCTTTCTTCGGTGGTGGAGGGAATAATTCTCGTTTGGCGTCCCAGGGGTTCCATCCCTTGACGTATCCTTCGAGCTCTTCTTTGGTTATCAGTTTCTGTAGCGCTTTCTGGGATTCTTGCGCTTGGTGAATAATAGTTTTGAGCTCGTTGGTTACTCCCGACGCTTTCTCTTTCTCAAAGTTCTTCCAGATGGCGACGTGCTCCTTGACTAAGAAGCAGATCTTCTCTTTCTTGGTCATGGTTACTATTTCTGGGCTGTCTTGGCGTTTCTGGGTAACCTCCGAGGATGTCAACGGATCGTCTAGATCCATGGCTTCGTCTCTCTTCTTGCTCTGAGAGTCGGGGTTGTTCATGTGGTCTGTCGTGCTCAGAGAGTCGGCCGTCCCTGCCGTCTTCTTCTTTATCTGGAGCTGGCTGAGTTGAAGTACTCGTTCTTCGAGAGGTAGCTTGACTCTTTGACCTAGTAGGAGCTGGGAGTGGTCCGGTGAGGTCCGGTCGCGAGGATCTGGTGGACATAATCACAGTAGAGTTAGGTATTATTGATTATCAGTTGTTTTATGGTATAAAATGAGGACGAATAGCTACTAACAATTAAGTAAGTCTTCTAATTCGTCGACCGAGGTGTCTTCTGGGTTACCAATCGAATCAATCGCTGCCGTATTGGTGGTCGTATGGACGGTGGTAGACAAATTGTTGCTAGCAGAAGCGTTGGTTGAGGGGTTCACTAGTAGAGGTAGGGATGTTATAGATTAGTTTGCAGGTTAATTGGAGCAGCGGATGATGGTCTTAATGCTGATGCTTACTCCTTATGAGTCTTTGTTGTTTCTTGTATTCTTTATAATCCCGAATAGTTTCGTTGATAAGTAGTTTAGCGGCAAAAGTATTGTCTTCTTCGCGATGTATTCGTGTAATAGCTATCTGCAGTCTTTCTTCTTGGCTGAGTAATTCCCAGTCGGTAGGCTTATAATTACGGATGAATTCTTCGTTTCTAAGTCTTAAGAATCGGAGATAATATTGGATCAGTTCGGAGTTTTCTCGAAGATTCACTGATAAAAGGGGGTAGTGGAATGAGAACGATGGATAAGTATTAGATTAAAAATAAAAATTCTTTTCTTTTTGGGGTTTTGAATTTTATAATAGATTTTTTATTAAGGTTTTATTTTATGTAGGTAGGTGAAAGAAAAGGGAATTAAGAGATTCGGTCGATTTGCTAGATAAGGGAGATATCGAGCAAATAATGTATGACTTTTGAGATATAAGTCGAGGAATCGATTTAACCGAGATATTTAAAGAATGTAAAATTTTTTCTTCAGATACGGTGGGTAATCGGTGAGGATTATTTCACGATCAATGCAGAGAGATCGTTAAGTTAAAGTGATAAGGTAAGGGTGACTTGAAGAAACGGATGAGGCTGGGTTCGTTCAATAGAAGGATTTCCCGGCCAGACCCCCAGTTGTCAGCCGCGGTGATACCAAGACTCTGAGTCTTCTAGCTACACCGGGTGATGGGGTGGTTTGGTATAATATTTAGGATGAAGAAGGATTAAAGAGGGGCCCAGGTTATGGGGGTGTTTACGGTGCCCTCTGGGATACGAGCCTAAGTCTAATATGACGACTGGTGGCGGCTTCGGCGGGGTCTCAGCAAGAAGCAAGGGTATTCGGTCCGCGTATCGGAAGGTGGAGGGATAGGTTCTAGAGCTAGGAAGGTTACTTACTTGAGTATGAGTCCCCTCAAGTGCGAAGCGGTTCAAAGCTCAGGCGGCGGTGGAGTCCAAAGATAACGAAGCCTTATTAGCGAGCGCGGAGAGTCTGCTTGTGGTTCAAAGGTATCGTTTTGGTGGTTTGGTGTTCCGGGTTTTGTGGTTTATAGAGGAGGGCGAGAGGTCAGTGAGGTGAGGGGAAGGGTTGTTTACAGGTTGGTTCTGGAAAGGAAAAAATGGATAATCGATGCTCAATATTCACTGACCTGAGCTGGCTTTTATCCTCATCGGGGCCGGTACCAATAGCGTATGGGAAGTCGATTCTTGTTTAGGTTCTGTCTTAACTGTTTCCTTGGTCATGAGGTCATGACTAGCGATGTCGACCTCAGCCATCGTTCTGAAGTGTGTGACATCTTGAGAAACAAGATGTCACAGCTCAAGGAATAGCGTTGGAGATGACGCAGGTGTAAAGTGTACTACTGCTGCGGACTCTCTGACGCGCATTCCTAATGTTTTGGGTCATTGATAGTTATTTATTCTTTTACTAAATTATGGACCATGTAAATTTAATAATTGTTTTTAAAAGTTAAAACTAAATTCCTAAAAACTCAGACAGATTGTCCTGCTTTCTCAGTGACAAGCTGACATCTAATATAAACTGTTGCAGTTATTCAAAAAAAAAAAAGTATGAGAATGAAGCCAGGCCGTGCTATCAAAAATGGTAATTTAGATGAAGATGCTCTTCTTATGAATTCAATTTGATGGATCGGTTTTGTGGAGAGGAAGAAGTCTCCAAGCAGACCAACCAGACTCTATTTATGCCAAACAAAAGTTGCTACAGTTAGTTCTGAGCAAGTGTTCCCCCTAGTTTTGTGGGAGTTCGTGTTTTGCAAATGAACTTCATGTATCCCTTTCATTCATAACTCTGCAAGAACTCGGCTGTCAATGGAGCCGAAAGATTACAACATTCCCCGGTATCTCAATGGACATAACGCTCAACCTCGGACAACACCAGTGATCACTAAGATACCTTCATGACTTCCAATCCCTTGATGTAAGTCTGACTGTCGGAAAAAAAAATACTCACACTGTTGCAGTAACCAGAAGATTTGTCGATTCATGTACTTGATTACTAGTAAGACCGTCTAAGAAATGTCTGCTCTCAACTGCCTCTGGTGGATGCCGATATACAAAATGGTGACAAAGTATGTTCTTTATCCGTTTCAGAATTAAGGTATCAGTAATGTGGTCAGTTCCGAGCTAGTTTTCTGACTAG